CAAACACCCAATAAACAGACTGGCTATGAATAACAGAAGACTCCTGATAGCAGCTAGCAGCTGAATTTCATTTCGTACATCCAGTGGAAAAAGACAGTTAAAAACACCACAAGTTGACACAAACCTCTGTCAGCTTCGGCTGTCAAAATAAACAAGATTCAAGATGCTGCATAAATTTTTCGCATAAACTCACCTGTCAAATTTTGACCAATCAGAGCATAAAAATTGGACGTAGAGCGTGACCAACGCATGACCATGGTAAGAAAAGTCAAAACCAACTGTCTTCCCTGCCCGTAACAGCTGGCTGCATTTTCGCGTCTGAGGTCAGTTTGCAATCAAACTTTTAATTGTGCGGCACATAAACACAAGATATTTCATATGAATTTAAAAAGAATTGAACTTGAGCCTGCGATCACTTGAAAACTAGTAACTTGTCAGCGGATAACTTCAAAAAATACTTGACCTCGATGGGTCGACACCTGAACCCGCGATACGACTAAGTGATACAGGTCAGCGGGTACCCTGTTTGGACAGCTGTCAATTGATATCCAATATGTGGGCATTATCAGTTTTCATGTGCTCTCAAATTAGCTAAAAGTATGAAATTGAACATTGTCCGCGATCTAGTAGAACAATTAACTGGTCAGCGGACAGCTTCCAAATAAATCACGTCACCTCAATGAGTTGACACGTGAGCCTCCGATATGGTCATGGGATACTGGTCAGTGGCTATCCTGTTTTGACAGCTGTCAATTAACCATATTGTGAATGCCCTATATTAAAGATGTGGACTTGCCAAGACACGCCTGAGACACTCCTCCCTTCCTTTTGATAGTCTCCCCTACCTCACCCGTATAATCTGTAGACGCGTATGTATGTACGTATGTACGTACGCTCGGTCAATCACGTGACAACCAAACTAAAGGAGGTTGACCATATTCCATGAGTATGGAGCTCTGTCCCACGCGCGCTTCGCGCACGTGGAAGCCCCACTAATATCATATTTTAATGCTAGGAAATTTTGGTTTATTTTCGTTCTTGCGATCTTGAAAACTAACCCGATTTCTCACCACCTGTATAAGTGCAACTTCATTCAAAATTTGGACTTTTTGCGCTTTTTTGTATATCCCTGAAACGATTTGAACGAATGTTTTTTTTTCAAAATCTCGTCACATAATCTTCACAATGTATATGATAATGTCTGAAACTTTCATTAAGGTTGATTCACTGAAAAACCTTGAAATTCCAAGACAAACCTATCCTACGAACCTGTCAAAAAGCAGCATCCTGACGCTACTTAAGAATAATTCGCGTCATTTATAACTTTTCTTTTTTTAATAAACTATCGCTTACTTTCACTTACTTAAAACTGTATTTTCACAAATTTCAATCCATAGCCAGTTACTGGTGAAAATTATATAGCGATCGGACAAGTAAAAAAAAACACTTTTAAGGCGATTGAAAAATATCGGTATGGCCTCTGAAAAACTGTATCGAAACACCTTAAACATAACTTACATTACTTTGATGGAAGACGCCGATTTCCCGCTGATACAATTTGCAGCGGTCACCACCCAATAAGGATGTACTAACGATCCTCCACAAAACAACTTGCCTGTAGAAGTTGTGGCCAACATCACCTGCCACGGCCAGCTATTCACTCTACCGCTTGGTCGCGAGCCACAAAATACTATATGCAATAGAAAAATTGTAAAAAATATCCATTATTGCATCAGAGAAGGAAAAAGCTTTTGCCCGATTCCATCAGATAATTCGTTGAAAAACCTACAATTATGGACAAACGTCCTTGGGACAGTAATCCAGTATTCACATTTTTCTGTCGTTTCCTGGTTCCCTTATAAAACAGTGCATCATCTTCGAAATTTTCTTGCAGTTCTCTTCCCCACCCCGGCCAACCTATAGAAAGTTGAAATTAGGGAAACAATTCTGGATACATGCGCCCAACATTTGTTCGTGGGGTGAGGGCAGAGGATGGGTCTGTGCAGTGAATTGGGAAACACCCCAGAAATGCAAAAGTGTCCAAAGTCTTTTGCTCATGATTGTAGGTTGTGGCTGGGTATTATTATTTTTTTAGCAACCAACTGAGAATGAGCTATAAGTGTAAGTATGGAAGTATGGCTACAAGCAGCGAATATGAACCTTCGTGGCACTTACATACATATGAAAGTACGTTTCCAGTGCCGCAGGACATCAAATCTAGATGCGCCTTCCCTTTCCTCCAAGGAATCATATTCTTATCAAACCAAACTTCCATTCGAGACGGTGACGTAAGGCCGTGATTAAATTAGAGACAAGAGATGAATATTTAAAAAATACCCTGATTCCTTGAACATCTTAGGTTGTGTCCAAAAATGGGTCCAACACCTAATTTTGTCAAGTCCCAATAGGCCCTCTGCGGCCTGTCATTCTCTTGATATACAAAACTACCCTGCTGAAGAGCAAGGGACTCATTGGGACAAGACAAAAAAGGATTTTACTACTTTAAATGATGTGACCTCTCTGTTTGTCTTGTTTGCCTTGGTCTCCAGCAGGGCGATTTTATACCACGTGAATGACCAGCTTCAACGGCGGATTCAAACTGAACTTAAAACGATAACCCGAAAAATTTACCCTGGGGATCATTACATTATCATTATTATTACTAGAGAACCAAGGCCTGTCCTTACGTTAAAATACCTTCATTTATAATGCATGTAGCAAGAAATATAATGCAGTGCAATCAAGAAAAGCGAGAAAAGCTTGTAAATCAAGAGCCGAAGACGAGTGATTTACAAACTTTCCGAGTGTTCTACCAACATCCCAAGTAGCCTATCACGCCGGTAAACCCTGCATAGAAAGTGTGGTCTATTGCTTATACAAAATAACTTTTAGTAGAACGGAATCATTTAGGTAAAAAATGTGGTTTTAGTACCGTGATCAAGTCATGTCTTCTCTTTAATGTCATTATAAGCCAATCATGACTCACGATTTAATTAGCGCAGAACTTTCTCAAAACTTAGTTCAGTCAAACAACAAACTGCAACACTTCAAAACACGAGTTTTTGCACACATTACATGATAACTTATGAAAGCTGTTTTACAGGAAAAGTCAACACATATTCATGCGAACGTAATTTGAAATAATATATGTTCATGGTTAAGTTACTATACAGAAGTAGAAAATTAAACATCAAACTGTACGCAGCTGTATTTTGTTAAGTCTATGCGCAATTTCCTGCTCACAGACGGAACTGGCAGCTATTGTAATGGAGGACTCATTCATTTTTAGAAGCTGCAGTGCATGCATCTTTAACGGCTTTTCCTACTGTACGTTGCTCCCAATTCAGGAAAAAGGTATTCGGATTGTAAGCTACCTTGTATCGAAGCTCAGATAGAACTGTCCAGCAGCTTTGTTTATGACCAAAAATGAGCACGAACGGCAGCTCTGCGTGGAATTCGCACCTCAGCAAAGGAGGGCGAATGGCAATGATACCCATGTCTGCGAACCGATCTGTATAAACATGTATTGCAGAGCAAAACATGATAATCAGGAAAAAACTACCCATTCATTGAACGAAGGAGTGACAAAAATCTCAGAGTGAGAAATTCATTCATGGGCAGTATTTTTGCGAAAATTTTATTTTGCACTTTGATGTTATTCGGTTCACAGGAATGGGTCGTTCGTTCCCCCTGGGTGAGGTGCGAATTCTTCGCAGAACTGCCACTCGTGCTCATTTTGTAGTCCTAAACAAAGGTGCTGGACATTTCTGTCCGAGCTCTGATACGGGGTAGCGTCCAATCTCAATACCTTTTTCCTGAGTTGGAGCAACGAACAGCAGTAAAAGTCGTTGGAAAAGCATTGCAATACATCAAAATGTATGCAGCAGGAGTTTGAGAAAAAACTTCTAAGATATTTTTTAAAAATGTCGAGGAAAAAGTCATTCTACTTCAGAGCAAAGTTTGGAGTAACTTATAGTGCTTTTAAGTACCTTTTAAAGCATGGCACGTTAAGCAATCGGCTTTTGTTTTAACAATTAGCAAACTTTGAATTTACTTGTCCCAAAAATTCAAACTGGTGTCTCTCTTCTTTGAACAGTAGGGTCCGTTTAAGAGCTAATTTCTCAAGAAATATTTACCACCAATGAAATCGGAATATTTCGTACTATTTCCGAATGATATCTGTTGTTCTTTTCAAAGTTTCGCAGCCATCGCGTTAGAAACGAAAAAGTTATGACGAAAACTTCGTCACAGATAAACGCGCCTGTATCAATGACGGAGCCACCTTAAGATCTGTTTCCTGGACTTTTTCATGATCAAGAAATGCTGCGTCAACGACGTGGCTGCATTTGCAAAGTTGTCGAATGTAACTTACGTACGTACAGCGACCGACGGAAATATGTCAGTGGCAGCTCTAAATTAAGAGAAAGGTTTCTTTGCCGTGCCCACATATTGGTGTTAATATTTGTCGATTTATTGAAGTCAGGTGGTTTGTAGAAGGTTATGGCATCGATATGCCCGAATGATTCGTGCAAATGTCTGGGAAAAAAACCGCGCGAAACTCTGACAGCTTTTATCATCGTTTACTGCTTGTTTACAACCTCCAGTGGCCGATTTTGTACCGGAAGTTGATCAGATCTCGCTTAGGGACAATTTGGTAATGGGTTCATGATAACCGTCACGATTATAGAAACATGAAGTCACCACTAAGCCCACTAGGAGAATGTTGATGTAATTGCTGTAGTTACTGTAGTTGGTGTAGTAGCTGTAGTTGGTGTAGTAGCTGTAGTTCCTGTAGTTGGCGTAGTTAGTGTAGTTGCTGTAGTTGGTGTAGTTGGTGTAGTTGGTGTAGTTGCTGTAGTTGGTGTAGTTAGTGTAGTTGCTGTAGTTGGTGTAGTAGCTGTAGTTAGTGTAGTTGCTGTAGTTGGTGTAGTTGCTGTAGTTGCTGTAGTTGCTGTAGTTGCTGTAGTTGCTGTAGTTGCTGTAGTTACTGTAGTTGCTGTAGTAGGTGTAGTAGCTGTAGCTGCTGTAGTAGCTGTAGTTGGTGTAGTTAGTGTAGTTGGTGTAGTTGGTGTAGTAGCTGTAGTAGGTGTAGTTGGTGTAGTTGCTGTAGTTAGTGTAGTTGGTGTGGTTAGTGTAGTAGCTGTAGTTGGTGTAGCTGGTGTAGTTAGTGTAGTTGGTGTAGTTACTGTAGTTGGTGTAGTTAGTGTAGTTGCTGTAGTTGGTGTAGTTAGTGTAGTTAGTGTAGTTGCTGTAGTTGGTGTAGTTAGTGTAGTTGGTGTAGTTGGTGTAGTTGGTGTAGTTGGTGTAGTTAGTGTAGTTGCTGTAGTTGGTGTAGTAGCTGTAGTTGATAAAGTTGCTGAAGTTAATGTAGTTGGTGTAGTTAGTGTAGTTGGTGTAGTAGCTGTAGTTGGTGTGGTAACTGTAGTTAGTGTAGTTGCTGTAGTCAGTGTAGTTCCTTTAGTTAGTGTAGTTGCAGTAGTTGGTGTAGTAGCTGTAGTTGCTGTAGTTGGTGTAGTAGCTGTAGTTGGTGTAGTTAGTGTAGTTGCTGTAGTTGCTGTAGTTGGTGTAGTTGGTGTAGTTGCTGTAGTTAGTGTAGTTGCTGTAGTTGGTGTAGTAGCTGTAGTTAGTGTAGTTGCTGTAGTTAGTGTAGTTGCTGGAGTTGGTGTAGTAGCTGTAGTTGGTGTAGTAGCTGTCGTTGGTGAAGTTGCTGAAGTTAATGTAGTTGGTGTAGTTAGTGTAGTTAGTGTAGTAGCTGCAGTTGGTGTAGTTGCTGTAGTTGGTGTAGTAGCTGTAGTTGGTGTAGCTGGTGTAGTTAGTGTAGTTGGTGTAGTTACTGTAGTTGGTGTAGTTAGTGTAGTTGGTGTAGTTGGTGTAGTTAGTGTAGTTAGTGTAGTTGCTGTACTTGGTATAGTAAGTGTAGTTGGTGTAGTTGGTGTAGTAGCTGTAGTTGGGGTAGTTAGTGTAGTTGGTGTAGTTACTGTAGTTACTGTAGTTGCTGTAGTTAGTGTAGTTGCTGTAGTTGGTGTAGTAGCTGTAGTTGGTGAAGTTGCTGAAGTTAATGTAGTTGGTGTAGTTAGTGTAGTTGGTGTAGTAGTGTAGTTGGTGTAGTTGGTGTAGTTAATGTAGTTGGTGTAGTATATGTAGTTGGTGTAGTATGTGTAGCTGGCGTAGTAATGTAGTTGGTGTAGTTAGTGTAGTTAGTGTAGTTAATGTAGTTGGTGTAGTAGATGTAGTTAATTGGTTAATATGTAGTTGGTGTAGTATATATAGTTAGTTGAGTTAGTTAGTTTGTGTGGTTGGTGTAGTATATGTAGTTAGTATTAGTTGGTTGATTGTTTGCATAGTTGGTGTGTAGTATACTGTAGTATATTGTAGTTGGTGTAGTACTATAGCAACTACAGCAACATATCAACCACCAAACCACACCAACCACTATTACAACTACACCAACTACAGCAACTAGTTACACCAACTACACTAACTATAAACCAAACTACAGCAACTACACCAACTACACTACAGCTACTACACACCAACCACAGCAACTACAGCAACTACACTAACTACACAAACTACACCAAACTACATCAAACTACACAAAAACTACAGCAAACTACAGCAACTACATATAGCAACTACACTAAAACTACACCAACTACACCAACTACAGCAACTACACCAACTACAACTACTAACTACACAACTACTCAACTACACCAACTAACTACACACCAACTACAGCTAACTACAGTAACTACAACCACAGCAACTACACTAAAACTACAGCAACTACAGCAAACTACACACCAACTACACTGCACTAACTACACCAACTACACAAAACAACACCAACTACGGCAACTACACCAACTAACTACACCAACTACACTAACTACACCAACTACAGCTAACTACAACCAACTACAGCAACTACCAACTACACAGCATCTACAGCAACTACACCAACTACAGCAACTACAAGCAACTACACCAACACCAACTACAGCAACTACACCAACTACTACAGGAACTACAGTAACAACTACACCAACAAACTACACTAGCAACTACAGCAACTACACACCAACTACACAATAAATTCAACAACTACACCAACTACACCAACTACAGCAACTACACAACTACATGAACTACACCAACCACACCAACTACACAGCAACTACAGCAACTACACCAACCACAGCAACTACACCAACTACAGCAACTAACTACAGCAACTAAATACCAGCTAACTACACTAGCTAACTAACTACAGCAACTACACCAACAACACAGCAACTACAGCAACTACAGCTACTACACCAACTAGCAACTACAGCAACTACACCAACTACAGCACCAACTACACCAACCACAGCTACCACCAACTACACCAACTAAACTAACTACACAACCAACTACAGCAACTACACTAACTACACAGGAACTACACACCAACTACAGCAACTAGTAAACTACAGCAACTACACCAACTACGAACTACACTACTACACAGCAACAACCAACCACACTAACTACACTACTATACCAACTAACCAACTACACAGTAACCACATCCACTAACTACAGCAACCAACTACAGCAACTACACCAACTACATGGCTACTACACTAACTACAGCAACTACACTAACTACAGCAACTAACCAACAGCAACTACACCAACTACAGCAACTACGAAGCTAACTACACCAAACTACAGCAACCACAGCAACTACCACAACTAACTACACCAACCACAGCTCCTACACCAACTACAGCAACTAACAACCAACTACACTAACACCAAGTACAGCAACTACACCAAACATTAACAGCAACTACAGGAACTACAGCTACTACACCAACTACAGCAACTACACTAACTACAGGAACTACACTAACTACAGCAACTACACTAACTACAGCTTCTACACCAACTACGACTACTACACCAACTACAGCAACTACACTAACTGCACCAACTTCACCAACTACAACTACTACACCAACTACACTAACTACAGCAACTACACCAACTACAGCTACTACAGCAACTACAGCTACTACACCAACTACAGCAACTACACAAACTACAGCTACTACACCAACTACAGCTCCTACACCAACTACAGCTCCTACACCAACTACAGCAACTACACTAACTACACCAACTACAGCTACTACACCAACTACACCAACTACAGGAACTACAGCTACTACACCAACTACAGCAACTACACTAACTACAGGAACTACACTAACTACAGCAACTACACTAACTACAGCTTCTACACCAACTACGACTACTACACCAACTACAGCAACTACACTAACTACACCAACTTCACCAACTACAACTACTACACCAACTACACCAACTACAGCAATCACACTAACTGCACCAACTACAGCTACTACACAAACTACAGCAACTACAGTAACTACATCAACTACACCAACTACACCAACTACATTAACTACACCAACTACAGCAACTACAGCAACTACACCAACTACAGCAACTACAGCTACTACACCAACTACACTAACTACACCAACTACAGCTACTACACCAACTACAGTAACTACAGCAATTACGTCAACTGCAGCTACTACACCTACTACAGCTACTACACTAACTACGCCAACTACACTAACTACAGCAACTACACTAACTACAGCAACTACACCAAGTACAGCTACTACATTAACTACAGCTACTACACCAACTACAGCAACTACACTAACTACAGCAACTACACTAACGACAGCTACTACACCAACTACCGCTACTACACCAACTACAGCAAGTACACTAACTACACCAACTTCACCAACTACAACTACTATATCAACTACACCAACTATAGCAACCACACTAACTACACCAACTACAGCTACTACACCAACTACAGCTACTACACCAACTACAGCAACTACAGCAACTACATGAACTACATCAACTACACCAACTACATTAACTACACCAACTACACCAACTACAGCAACTACAGCTACTACACCAACTACACTAACTACACCAACTACAGCTACTACACAAAACTACAGTAACTACAGCAATTACATCAACTACAGCTACTACACCAAGTACAGCCACTACACTAACTACACCAACTACACTAACTACTGCAACTACACCAACTACAGCAACTACACCAACTACACCAACTACACCAACTACAGCAGCTACAGCTGCTACACCAACTACATTAACTACACCAACTACATTAACTACACCAACTACAGCAACTACAGGAACTACACCAACTACAGCAACTACACTAACTACACCAACTACAGCTACTACACCAACTACAGTAACTACAGCAGTTACATCAACTACAGCTACTACACCAACTACAGCAACTACAGTAACTACAGCAACTACAGTAACTACAGCAACTACACCAACTACAGCTACTACACCAACTACACCAACTAGAGGAACTACAGCTACTACACCAACTACGGCAACTACACTAACTACAGGAACTACACTAACTACAGCAACTACACTAACTACAGCTACTACACCTACTACGGCTACTACACCAACTACAGCAACTACACTAACTACACCAACTTCACCAACTACAACTACTACACCAACTACACCAACTATAGCAACCACACTGACTACACCAACTACAGCTACTACACCAACTACAGCTACTACACCAACTACAGCTACTACAGCAACTACAGCAACTACAGCAACTACAGCTACTACACCAACTACACTAACTACACCAACTACAGCTACTACACCAACTACACCAACTATAGCAACCACACTGACTACACCAACTACAGCTACTACAGCAACTACAGCAACTACAGTAACTACAGCTACTACACCAACTACACTAACTACACCAACTACAGCTGCTACACCAACTACATTAACTACAGCAACTACATCAACCACAGCTACTACGCCAACTACAGCTACTACACTAACTACACCAACTAACTAACTACAGCAACTACACCAAGTACAGCTACTACACCAACTACAGCTACTACATCTGCAATACCAAGTACACACTACATTAACTGCACCAACTACACCAACTACGCCAACTACACCAACTACACCAACTACACCAACTACACCAACTACAGCAGCTACAGCTGCTACACCAACTACGTTAACTACACCAACTACAGTAACTACAGGAACTACACCAACTACAGCAACTACACGAACTACACCAACTACAGCTACTACACCAACTACAGTAACTACAGCAGTTACATCAACTACAGCTACTACGCCAACTACAGCTACTACACTAACTACATCAACTACACAACTACACCAACTACACTAACTAGAGCAACTACACCAACTACGGCTACTACAACAACTACACCTAGTACAGCTACTACACCAACTACATCAACTACAGCAACTACACTAACTACACCAACTACAGGTACTACACCAACTACGGCAACTACACCAACTACATTAACTACAGCAACTACAACAACTACAGCAACTACAGCTATTACACCAACTACACTTACTACAGCATTTACAGCTACTACACCAACTACAGCTACTACACTAACTACAGTAACTACAGCAATTACATGAACATTCTCATTGTTGGCTTAGTGGTCACTTAATGTCTCTATATTCGTGACGGTTATCATGAACCCATTACCGACAATTTTTTCATTTAGGATTTAATTTTGACATGAAATATTTCAAGAATGCTAAAACTGTCCGTTTTGTTGCTGGTTGGCACATGGTTAAGCTTTCCTAGAGACTTTATACAAGAGAAATTCACACAGTTGTTGTCTTCCTCTTCGATTTGGCATCGTCGTGAAATGTAAACCGCTTTCCAGCTTTATACTTTAGAACTTTGAAAGCTATGGCAGTAACAAATTGCGACGCTCAGTAGTAAAATGTGGAAACCAACGCCTTTTAATGTTAAGAAGGGATGGACTAGTTATTTTCTAAAATGTGCTAGTTTACCATCAGTGGTTGAAGCAGGACTTTCACGGGTTTTGTAGGCTTGGCCAGTCTCGTCAATTCCATACACTACAATTCGGTACCTTGTAGAGGGTCTTAGGCCTGTAATATCTTTAGTTGTCGTACTTCCTGGGACAGTTTCTTCAGCTAGCAAATTTCCCGCGGGACTTTTAATAAAAATCAAATAAAACCGGGCAGTCCGGTCAATGTTCGTGCGAAGCGCAGACCACTGAACGCTAAGACCAAAATGACTGGGCATCAAAACAGTCACATTCCATCCTGAAAGCAGTAAAGCTAAAAAAAAGAAAAGTAATAATAATAATTATTATTATTATGGTTTCGAGTCTAACGTTAACAACAATGCAGTGCGTAAGAAAGAAAAATATCTGAACTTGATCAACGAAATGAGTAGAAATTACAGATGTGTGAGATTTGTAAATCTCTCCATGAGTTCCCTTGGCGTTTTCTCCGATGAATGCTCCACGTTCTTAGAGATGATGAATGACATTGGCATTGACAAAAAGCAGCAGCGTTATATAATCAAGAAAATGATAAATATAGCCATTAGAGCAACATATTACATCTTTTGTTTTAGAAATAGGAACTGGGATAGCCTAGACTTAATATACTTTGGCTTTTTTTTTGTTTTGTTTTTGTTTTTGTTTTGTTTTTTGTTTTTGTTTTTCTTGTTTTTAATAATCCAATCTCAAGCAGCATTTGTAAATTGCCTATACGTAGCGAGATTTACAATTGTACATTCAAAAACACAAATAAAGTTTCCATTATTATTATTAATATTATTATTATTATAAAGGTGAATTATAATTATCATTAAAAAATCTCCCAGAATCCTTTGAAGCATTTTTTAAAAAGATTTATAATTTTGACAATTTTATATACAAGATAACATTTGCCGTAAGGTAATGACGTCATCAATCACGTGTCTATTTTCGAACTAGGTTTTTTTGTTGCTGTGACAAGATTTCATTAACGAGTTAAAAACAGATAGCATATTTTAGGTTTTAGTTGTGTTGGGCATTTAAAAATAACCAGTTGACGTCCGGCATATAAAATTTAAGGGGGTGATGAACATGAGCGAAAAAGTCGGGAGACTAGGCCAAGGGCTGTAGATAGTCAACCTTTTATCACACGGCAGAGAAAATTTGCGGGAAAGTAATGTTCTACCTGATAAATTTTTTCATTACCAAAAGAGGAACATGACTTCTCAGTCACGTGATCAAAGCGTTTTGACTGTTTTAGTTCGCTTTTTTGTCATAAATTTGCAAGTTTTTGCTGTTTTTCTCAACAATTACTTACACTGCTTTGTCTCTGAGCAGTTATTTTTCCATTTTCAATGCAGAATCACACGAAAACTGAGCCAGAAGTTTAAAAGTTGCGTAAATTGACCGATATTGCTATTTAAAGTCGAAAAGGAGACCTACTCTTGGGAAGTCTGCGAGGTGGTCCCGTGGATAGAGGCATTAACTTGTAGTTCTGACTGATTCTGAGGGTCCGCGATCGAATCCCGTTGAAGCAAATATATCGTAACCGTTTCTTTTTTAAAAAAATCTCTTTGTTACTCTCTTTTTTACCTGTGTGGTGTATATAGCTAGAAACATAATGTGGTAAATTGAAAGCAAAGTTTAAAGGAATATAAAAAATGCAGTAGGTATCATAGCGTATCTTCCGGTATTTTTAGTAATACTGGACACTGCTATCATTACCCAGCTCAATCGTCGATTTTCACATGTGCCTAATTTAATTCGAGAGGTAACTGCTTTGAGATGGGACGTCTGAATCAAATAAATTCGAATTAAATACGACTATGTCAAATCTGCGACTGTCTCCGACTGAAACAGTCGAAAATTCAACATTTGATTTAGAAGTCGCGATTCACATGTGCCGAATATAATACATTAGTTATAGAAACCTTTATCCATATTGGATAAAAAAAAATTCTAGAGACTGGGAATATTTACAACACATATCTGACGGCTGAATCAACTTCGATATTTTTAATTACTTTCATCAACTAAAATAGGTGCTATGCACTCATAAGAAATTCCACGTTTGAAAGGGGCCTCACATGACGTAAGTTTCAGCTTAGTGGTTTGCAGGCTGTTATTAAGTTGTTGTTGTCTTTTCAGTAAGAGCAACTCGAATCTCTCTTTGTAAATCCATTTTACTAATCCGCTTGTGCTGCGAATTATTTCAAGGTTTAAACTCGAAGCTTTACATAGTGTAAAATAATCATAATTTACTTTTACCTGTATCACTTGTAAAAATAATAATTACAATAATGATAATACTAATACTACTACTACTACTAATAATAATAATAATAATGATAATAATATAGTACCTACTCAGAGAAATGTATCAATAGACCTTATACACGATAGCCGCCATCTATGGACGAGCTTAAGGATTGAGGGATAAAGCAGTGTCAAGAAGTTTCTCTGGGAGAAAATTTGCCCCTACAGGTGTGAGGAATCGCGGTAGAGTTCGTTCACTCTAGATAACAGAAAAAGAAACACTTTTTATCTTAAAGACGATAAATGCAGTAGGGACCGTAGATGTCCTCACATCAAGCTATAATGTCATACAGTGTAAACCTTGTAGATATTGCATGTTTATCACAAAACCGTTGTCCCTTTTTGAAAGAATAAGCAACCAATGATTACTCGTTTTGGTAAACTTTATCACTCGTTTGCCCTCACGTGACATTGCCTATATCCCATCGATCCCAAAGAGCGTGCAAAGATGACTGATATCGTCAAAAGGTCTATTCTACCTAGGTGGCGGGATCGGATTGAAACCAGGACTAAAAGAGAAACAATAAATTAAGTATCGACTAAAACGCACCTGAAGATACGCCGTTCTTCAAAACAGCAAACTTGATTTTCACGCTGCCTGGACTACTTTCTAAGTACATTTGAATTGAGATTTTACCGGACGAGCCAAACTGTACATCCAACAAAGTCTCTGTACTGAAAGGCTTACTTGAACTGTCTTGATTGAAAACCTCGGTACCTTCTCCATCAATGATCTTCACATACTCGCTGTGTGACAAAAATATATACTACTTATTAACCAAGAGTGAGGTCATTACAGGGAAATCTCAGACCGAGGTCTTGATGTATTAAGTTATTTGTTATATAGCCTTTCATTAGGGACTGAGCCTATGATCAATCAAAACCAACAACTGATCGGCGGATAACTTAAAAGAACACGTCACCTCAATAAGTTGTACACTCTAGTTGTTGCCCGCGAAAAAGTCAGATGACATTGGTCCGCGTATACCCTTTTTGACAGCTGTCAATTAACCATAGCATGGAGGTCCATAAGGATGTCCTTCCTCAAGTTAAACACAGATTTTATATGCCTTGGACACCTAGCTAGTAATGTCGAGTCATTACAAGGGAATACAAATTTATCATAATATTAGGCTTTTTTAAAAATCAAACCACAAGAATTTCCGAGATTTTAGTTGCCAGCAGTGAAAAAAAAGCCTTGTAAGCGCGCGTACTGTCCTATTACACTGTCCTATCAGGGCTGAAATCAGGGATAGTTAGTTTTCCTCAATCAGATTTGATAATTCTGTTATAGTTGTGATTATAATGAAAATAAAGGTAGTAATAATAATAAGAATCATCATCATCAACATCACCATCATTATCATCATCATCATCAGTCATCATAAAAGAGTTAATCAAAGACAACATTGCTGGGAAAAACATTCTCAACCGGGAAGGTCATATCCATGAAGTGCTTGAATTAGCATTTTGATATACAGTACTGGTAGAGCAAAAATGTCTTGACTGTATACTTCTACTGATATTTCTTTCCTTTACCAGTAAGGCTATCATATACTGCTTAAATTCACAAAGAGAACAAAGAACTGCCAAAAATTTCTATTCATTTCATTTCTGAAGAATTTATTACATCACTCAGTTTACCTCCAATAGAGATTTAATTCTCGTACAGATACCA